AGTTTAGGAGTTTATTGAAGCAATGCTAGCATTGCTGTTACTATAAAGAGCAACAACAAATAAAGTAACAAACAACAACAACAAACCAATACAAGCAGAAAAAAGCTGAACAACAGCAACATCAATAAAATGAACATTACATGTAGAATAAGATCCCTTCTTCTTCCTTTCTATCTCCAGTTTCCTCATCGAGGTATTATGGAAGATCATATTCAAACATAACCATAGCCACCAAGAACAACAATATTATATTTAAAAAAAAAACCCTCCCCCCCCCCCCCCCCCCCCCCCCCCCTGACTGAACGTCCATCCGCTCAGGCAGGCACGCACACACACACACCCCTTCCCCAAAAAAAAAGCTCCTTAAAGAACAAGAAGAACAGATGGATACAAACTCTCAGTCACCTGTCTAGTACTCACCTGTCATGCGGGTGACCCCACCTAAAGCTGCAGCAGCACCAACCATGGCGTACAGGCCTGGTGTGACAATACATTTGCCAGGAGACACACACATACTTGAGAACAGCACAGTTGATGGGTTATTTCTGTATAATATATAGGTCCTATTTTACTGATTACATTACGGCCTAAAGTATCAACATCAAACTGGGCATATCCACAGGGGGTTCCTAGCTAAAGTGAATGGACATCACTAGTTTGAGAATGGAGGTGGAGGCAGTCGCTGCAGTTTTCCAAGGGCTTCAGAATGTCAAGCATCACTTCAGAGGGCCGGGTAGTTATTTGTGAAATAGATATTTTCTATATGAACAGGAATACAAACTGACTGGTTCTGCACCATTTGGTGGTAAACTAAACCATGACTAGCTAGATGTTATTAGGGCCCTTTGGAAGTGAGTGAACAGGTACAATATGACCATCACAGTCTGAAGAGAATGGTGCAGCTAGGAGTGACAAGGAGATCTAGCTGACGCTCAATGCTTAGGGGAAAAGTGAAGCGAACATACAGTCAAACCATTACTGGTGCCATCAGAACTGGAACTCTGTACTTGCTAGTGAAGATGGAGATAAAGTACTAGAGAATACATAAGTGCCATAATGTCAGTTCTATGCTCATCATCATCATGGATCCAAACTTGTTTCTAAATTCATACAACCTAATTCCTGGTGTTTCATCTAATATGGTATCTTCTATCGGCACTTATTCATAAATAGTGTTCAGAATGTCTGCCTTGTCCAATATGAGTGTTCTTACTACTGCGATTGATTTTGTTTTTTGTTTTTTTTGGAATAAAAAATTCCGCTCTTTCTTTGCCTTGCACTCATGCGTCCTCCTGGATAGCATATCCACATAAGTCCCTGTAATGTTGATGAGCTGATGTTTAGTACCTACTCATGGCACATTTGGAACCTTCCACCCTCCTCAAAACGGACTCAGAATCAGACACTATGATACCTCTTGTAAATCTGTTTTCAGGCTATCCACTTCAGAACTACAGCGACTGCTTCTACCTCCATCCTCATGCTTGAAGTTGTTGACAAAAAGCAACATTGTGTTCTGCCATGATCTTCCATTTGACTTTAGCAGAGATACCCCAGACAGATTTGTACCCCAATGCACAGAACCATTGACATGCACAATTCCTGCGAATTTCTAGGCATTTTAATCTATCAATTGTTGTAACTCCAATTCTGTCACACCACTACACCCTTCTCCAAATTCTCTTCGGCTACATTAAATAAGGAGAACATAATCTGATGACACAGTGTTGCCAGCATAAAGTAAGCAGGAGTTACAGGACCTAGTGCAGCAAGTCAACATGCAGAGCTCACAGCAGGGTCAGACATTATTATTAAAACTAAAGTTAAGAAAATTAAAAGGAAATGAGTGGCCAACAGCAAACATCACAGTAAACAGAGAGCTATCACAACAAGCAAGATAGTCTCGTATCATGGATGTGTAATAACAGATGGCAAATGTGAAATAGAAGTCATCAAGAGAATAGGAATGGCCACAAATATTTTCTATGGGAATTACTGACATCTAGAAAAATAAAAATTAGAATAATGAGAAGTACCAAATTTGGATATTCCCAAGTGGGTTTCGGGAAGTGGGGGGGAGGTGCACTGCCTCCCTAACAAGCACACCATTAGAATCAACAAATTAGGGGTTTCCTTCGAAGTCTTCACATTTGCCTGAATTTGCCTGAAAGACCAGGAATCAACAGTCTGCATACACATAAGCCAGATCTGTAAAATGGATGTGTGCGCAAAACTCAAGTTTTGCTCCAAGACTAAAGTCGAGAAGTGCATGAACTGGAATTTCTGCTGGAGTTTACAGCCGGCAAAGTGGGAAAGAAAAAGAAGAAGAAACCTGGATAATGAACAAACAAAAGCAGCAGTCTCCAAGAATGTGAAACCACAAAGAGTTGCTTGAGATACATTGCAGCCAACTTCATGTGGGGACGGCACCTGATTCACATGTCTCTCTTGTTAAGTGTGTGTGTGTATGTGCACGAGCGCATGCGTGCAAGTGTAAACAAACTATATTATCATTTTTTTAAAAATTCCCCGTGTGGGTTCCGGGGTCCCATTTTTGGGGATGAAACAATAGATCCACTGCCCGCAACAAGCCTGTCATTCTTCTTCTTCTTCACTTCCTCTGTTACCGCTGTGGGTGTCGAGGGAGATATAAGGTTCTGTTTCTAGCTCTTCTGGCTGCCTCGACCATAGGCACATCGTGCTGTTGTAGAGTTTCTCTGATGTTATCCTTCCATCTTGTTCTTGGTCTACCCCGTGCTCTATGTCCTTCTTCTCTTTCCATGTATGCTTTGTATGGTATGGTGTCACAAACCATTTCACTTGCTGTCTTTGTATGTAATCCAGAATTGGTTCTGTGCCGACTTGTTCTCTTATGATCTCATTCCTGATCTTATCTCTTATGGTCACTCCTACAGCCCTTCTCAGACATCTCATTTCCATGGTTATTAATTTTCTTTTATGGTTTGTTGTGAGTGACCATGTCTGGCACTGGTAGCACAGAGTTGGAATGAATACGCTTTGAATAAGATGTCTCTTTGTGCTGATTGGGATTGTCTTATGCTGTAAGAGGGGGGCTAGTTGTCCCAATACTTGGTTTGCTTTACTGCAAACAGGCACCTAATTAGGCTGTTTCCTTCAAAGTCAGTGTTAAAAGTCCACATACAAATAAGCCAGATCTTTCAAACGAATGTGCACATAACATTCTAGTTCTGAAACAAGACCAAAGCCCAAAAGTGGACAAACAACCAGAACTTTTCTTACAGCCGAAGAACACTTAGATAGAAGAAGAAAATAAAAAGATATAGCCAAACACTTTTTTAAACATTCACACTGAAAAACCGATTATATATTTAAAAAAAAATATGAAAAATGTCAAATATGAAACTACAAAAATTTGTATGAAACAATCAAAGTTATATCTAGCAACCATGTGAATAAGAATATAAAAATAGGAATATAGAATGTAGCAACAATGGAAACTATAAATCTAACTACTCACTGAATAAGAATAAAAAAAAAAAAAAAACGCTGAACTCAACAATAAAAAAAAAAAAAAAAAAACTTAACATAACAATTAGAAACACTACATATAAAGAAATAAGAAAGTAAACAATAATAATATAATTTTCTGAGTACTGAGTGCGGAGCTTAGAACTGACATCACAGCACATTGGGACATTCCCATAAACGCCCTGTCCTCATCTTCAGCAGCCAGCAAACAGCTTCAATTCTGATGGTGCCAGTAGCAGTTTGATATGTCCACCTTGTCTTTCCTCTGAGTGTAAAAAGCTGACCAGATCCCCTGGTCATTCCTAGCTGTATCTCTATCCAAACAATAATGATCTATTTTTGCCTCTGCAATGTTCACAATCTCACAAAGGGCCTTGAACACATCTATCCTATCAGGCATAAAGTCACCACCCATTAGTGCATAAACAGCTAATCAGTATGCCTGTTTATTTTCCAACAACCCTGCATGACCCGAAGAAAATATATTATTTACTAACAGCCAAAGAAGAAACATGAAGAATGACTTACACAACCAACTGCTCAAAACCAACACCAATGAGCCTGCCAACAATAGCGCCAACAGCCATGCTCGGAATGAAAAGTCCTGCTGGTACCTGGCAATGGACGACAACCACAAGACAGTCAGAGTAGACAATATATTTGTGTCTGAATAATTCTCTTGGTAACACTCTTCCACAACTGTTTTGTCTAGGATATTTTTTACTTCAATCAATCTCTTAAGACAGTGGCATGGAGGAAAATCATCAGCGGAACTGATCCAGAACACCAAAGACCAAGATTTGTGGAGATGCATGAACGCTTACACTAGCTGGCATGGCACTTAACGATGATGAATCATTCTCTTGTTAATAAAAAAAAAAAAGTAAAGTTCCCTTTTCACGCCTTTCGGCGCATCGGGCATATGGGCAGAGCGTCCCATATTTTTACAGACCATCAGCACTCGGTGGTTAATGTGGTCAGCATTACGCCGGCTGTCTTGACTTTCCCAGGACAGCCCATCCTGGTACCCATTTTAGACTCTCTAACAACTGTCTTGTCTAGAAAACATTTTTTTTTTACTTTAGTCATTCTCTTGGCAACACTTTTTTTTATAAATGTCTTATAAAACAACAATTCTACTGTAAACACAAACACTGTCAAACAAACGTCTTGTTTAGGAAGAAGCATTTCTACTTCACTCATTCTCTTATGCAGCATTTTCTTACACATGTCTTGTTGAGGAAACAACATTTCTACTTCAATCACATTGTCATGCAGCATTTTCTAACAAATGTCTTGTCTAAGAAACATTTCTACTCTAACCAGGAACACTCTCCAACAACTATATTCACCCATCAGGCACATAAGGCTAGACTTATAGTTTAATAGACCAATCGGCCCATGATGGGTGATGAGGTCAACATTACGCCGACCATCTTTACTTCCCAGGACTTTACCTGGTACCGATTTAGGGCTGGGTGTGACAATACGCGCGGTGACTTCAGAATGTCTTTCCTCAACCTACTTTTATTTCTTTGTATTTTGAAAGTATACAGGAAAATAGGGATTTGGATACATCCTTAATCTAAGTAAGACGACCACATCAAACCTTTAATTCTCCTGGACCGTTGGTCATATCAAACACTACAACTTTTTCCCAGATGTTAAGTGTTAAGGTACAGAGATAAGACTGACCAAGCAGACTTACTGACTGGAGATTTGCACACCATTTGTTGGTGTCAGATATTGATTCCCCCTGCCAGACCTTCAGGAACAGATAACAAGGGCTAATTGCCATTATCTCCCCCTGAGGTTACCTAAACTGGAGTGCCGGTCAGATCGTCACTATTGACATGGTGAGCAGAAAGTGTTAACAGAAGAATTGACACCGTCTGATTTTATTGTGATGGCAGGTGAAGTAGGCAGGAGGTGTGACTTGGCCTATTAGCTTAATTGAACCTGTAGAATGTGAGCGTGGGAATTTAAACAATTGTTGTACAGCCCTGACTGACAGCGAATAAACTTACCCACAAGGGAGGAGCTGTGACATCCTTGAATGAGAATGATTTTAGGCGTAATGTAGGAGGAGCTTGATAAAAGTTATAAAGTGGTGAACTTAAGGTCTGGTAAATGAGATCCTGTCCAGCACATGCCATCTGTTGGGCTTAACCTAAGCTTGAGACAGAACTTTTGGCATCGTGGTTTCATTTTTTCCAGGTAAGATCGAAATTAGGTTCAAATCTATATTTTATGATAGAGATCTGTCTTTTTGCTCAAGTGTGTGTCTTCATCACTTTGTAATACTCCTAGGCGGACATTTCTTTATTCTCGTAGGGCACTGTCACATTGCTTTATATCCTATTTGATAGTGTCATGAATGTTCTTTCGTGCACATGTGTTTCAATGTTGTAAAACCTAAATGTTGTTGTTGCCATTGAAATTTAATGAACTATCATGTTTTTGAAATCACAAGCGTGAAGATAACTTTGGCAATCTTGTCACGTGTGGTTAATGTGAATCTGTATTACATACAGCTAACACACTGAAATGTGTTTAACTCTCGGAAGGCAAATGCGGAGATTGATCCCGGAGAGAAAATCCTTGAGATTTGGTATTTGATTCGCCTCAGAAATATTGTTAGCTTTCTGGGTGCGTCGATTGTTCCAAGCATAGATTCCAGAACTGGTTCTGTCTGACTGAGTGTCATTTGAGTCTGTACGAGAGATGGCACCTGACGTAGAAGACTTGACTATCATTACAGGACGTGTAGAGGAAGGCAGAAGATGTAACAGTTGGAATGTGAGACATAAGCCCTTCCAAATTGGACAGGAGTGAATGTGAGCATGAGGGAGAGATGAAATGTTTTTTTTAAATAAACATGCTTGATGTTAGTATAATATACATGCTTAGTGTACATCTAGAGCAGATACTACAAATATGCGCTTGTTTCTTCATTCTCCAGTTCCCACATTGGGCAGGGACTAGTAGGCATCCATTATTTGCCGACCGTCGAGTGTAACGACCTGCAGAAAGCAGTGAGGACGACAAACTGGAAAAGATAGGCAGGGTCTCAAGCCGAGAACTGTCCAAAGGTTGTTACTTTCCAATACCTTTATGATTTCATCATTCACATCATTTCAACTCTACTAGCCTAAACAAGTTCATTTTATTTTAGTCAGATTTATTAAATAAATCTTTTTGATGTTGTTTAAACAGAGTTGAGTAAATTGTGTACTTAGGTTCAAGTGTCTTTGTGCATATTAGTTTACTTCAGCTAACAAATATTTAAATCACTTGATGGGGTGGGCTTTTAAGCAATGCCAGGAGAGGAGACCAGTCGCAGGGGTTAACTGTGTATCGAGATAATATCACAGTGGGTGTATCCTGATATCTATCTATCCCTTCTCCTACTCCTGTGGATACAAGTACAGCAACTTTCATTTCATGGAACGAGCCACTCGCTGTTTTCTTGGCTATCCAGGACTGTCTAGGATCAACATAGCTTAGATAATAGTCCAGTTTCTCACGTGGGTGGGCATTGTTAAGGTTCAAACCCACACCCTCACTATATCAGTGTATTTACCCACGTGGGCGCGCGACACTTGGTCGACCTAGAGACCAAGGTCATGTCTAAATCTGGCACCATGGGGATTTGAATCCATGACCTTAGGATTAGCAGGCGAACACTTAGCCACTCCACCATGGCCGTTCCCATAGGTGAAGACAGAAGAGGTTATAACCAGCTTCATATGGGATCAGCCAGTAAAGCTACCACCTCACGATGGCTACTTCACACAAGGACTAAACATACATGGTCTAATGCGTGACATGACGATGATTGTGAACACAAAACACACAACATCAGGATTCTCACATACATCCGGAGCAAAAACTAGTAAAGGGCCCCCTCCCTGCTGATGGCATACTGAGCGTACGTTGCTAGACTCATATTTTTTAAACTGGCATATATAATGGGTGATGGTGTTAACCTCAGGCCAGCCCTCTTTATTTCCAAGAATATTTCCTAGCATCCACTTCGACCATCACCCTCAAAGCTAAAGTCACATCTATTACAACAGAACAAAAGAAGAAGAAGAATCTGCAAAATCTAGATCTTCCAATATATATAAGTATAACATTGCATAACCCTTGCAGGACGTCACAGATCGACCCTAGCATCTGCTGGCCATATTTTACTTGGCAATTTTATTCAGTAATTTGCCATTGCTTTCTAACGATCTGATGCTCATACCTTTGTTAAAATCTACACTAAGCAGTCTATACATAGGTACTGTAACCCTGTATAAGCTTTCATAACCAATAAAGGTGTTTATGAGGGTGCGCACACACACACACACACAAACACACACAGGCATGCACAAAAAAAACAAACTGGTAGCATGTAAAGTGCACAGAACTCACCTTGATGCCAAAGGTAAAAACAGTGATGATGAGTTTAAAGATGAGAGCTAGAGACAGCTTCCACATGGCACTGTTGACACTGGGCCCGGACACTGCCGAATACTTAAAGGGGTCTGTCAGGTTCGGATTGCGGTGGTAGTCGCTGTGAATACAGGCAACATATGTGAGGGGCTGGTTATCGGTAACTGATTGTCAGTGGGTGGTTGCCAATGACTGGTTGTCAGTGGCAGGTTTTCAATTCTTGGTAGTCAGCGGCTGGTTATTAGTGGATGGATGTCAGGGGCAGGTTGTCTGTGGCTGTTGTCTATATAACATTAGTTAATCATTTCTGTCCCAGATAAGTGTTATTATAACATGTTATACCTTAAGAGAACTGGCTCATAAACAGCATCCTGTCCCAAAAGCTGAAGTATTTTGGCTATGCTAAACATCATGGTGGCCTGGATGGAACGGTGTTGAAGTGTACAGTTTCCGCAAAAGGAGGCAGAGGTAGATCTCTACAAAGGAGGGTATACAATATTTAAGACGAACTGGCTATGAAAGCACATAGGGCTAGAAAACTGGCTAGAGACAGAGAGACTTGCAGGCATGCCGTGATGAGAGTGATGTTTTGCAAAGTACATGGTGAGTGATATCTTGAGACACGAAATCATGGTAGTGGCTATTTGTGATAAGTTATCTTGGAGTCTTCACCTCTTTCTGATGTGGAATATCAATACAACTAATCCACAACACCAAGGTCTGAGATCTGTGGTGGAAAGACTTCAGTGTCTGTGTTATCATACGGTTTACATGATGATGAGTAAACTAGCTGAGAGATTATTCTGACTGTACTTCTTCTTCTTCTTAGCACTGACCAGCTGTAAACCGTTGCGGAAAGTTCTGGTTGTTCCTCCACTCCTGGACTTTGACTTTGATGCAGGACCTAACTTCTGCCTCTTTATTTTTCCTCTCTATAGATCTGGCTTATTTGTGTAAAGACTTCTGGTTCCTTGCCTCTCAGGCATTGAGACTTAGACTCTGAAGGAAACACCCCTAATTATTCGCCTCCTACCACAAACTTGTTTGGAAGGGGGGAGGAGGGGTTTAAAATGGGTCTATTCTCTGTTCTCAAAACTGGAGTCATGGAATCCACATAGGGAACTGCACATCAAACATCCATAAGTTCCATACTGCTGTACTAATGTTTTTTTTTTTTGAGTGGTAACCTGTGTAGTTTTCTTGTCTGGCTTTGCAGACTTAAACTTGCTATTCTTGCAGACAAAAGTAACATCAGGTGCAGGGTTAATTGCTTTGGTAGACACACAAAAAAGAGTTACAAATAAAAAGCGAGTACTTACCACAGCTCAACATCATCATCAGGACCACAGCGACTGACCAGTAACCTGATGAGCTCACTGCTGTTCATCCTGGTGTATGGGTTGGGGTAACTGAGCAGAGCTGTGATGAATGTGACCGCCAGTACCTGCAGATAGTTACCAAAGTGTGGGAGTAAATTCTAAACTACCGAGGGAACATGTGTGATAGGTTGGAGCAAACCATAACTACTGAGTGAACATATGTGATAGGTTGGAGCAAACCATAAACTACTGAGTGAACATGTGTGATAGGTTGGAGCAAACCATAAACTACTGAGTGAACATGTGGAGAAAACCAAAAACTACTGGGTGAACATGTGTGATAGGTTGGAGCAAACCATAAACTACTGAGTGAACATATGTGATAGGTTGGAGCGAACCATAAACTAGTGAGTGAACATATGTGATAGGTTGGAGCGAACCATAAACTACTGAGTGAACATATGTGATAGGTTGGAGCGAACCATAAACTACTGAGTAAACATATGTGAAAGGTTGGAGCAAACCATAAACTACTGAGTGAACATATGTGATAGGTTGGAGCAAACCATAAACTACTGAGTGAACATATGTGATATGTGGTGGAGAAAACCAAAAACTACTGGGTGAACATGTGTTATAGGTTGGAGAAAACCATAAACTACTGAGTGAACATATGTGATAGGTTGGAGCAAACCATAAACTACTGAGTGAACATGTGTGATATGTGGTGGAGAAAACCAAAAACTACTGGGTGAACATGTGTTATAGGTTGGAGCAAACCATAAACTACTGAGTGAACATATGTGATAGGTTGGAGCAAACCATAAACTACTGAGTGAACGTATGTGATAGGTTGGAGCAAACCATAAACTACTGAGTGAACATATGTGATATGTGGAAAGCAAATCATAAACCACTGAGTGAACATGTGTGATATGAGGAAAATAAACCATAAACTACTAAGTGAATATGTGTGAAGTGTAAAGGTAATAATTTAACTACTGTAAACCTTGTAATGTAGTACATAATCATGTAATTAAACTGTCTAATATCAATGCACTGGTGTCATATGATGCTGAATGGAACCCTTTTACTCAGTAAGAATCTGTAAAAATAATCTTTCTCAAAATTTTATTTAAAAATAAAAACACAGCATTATTCTTTTTAACTCTACCCTAAAACACTAGAGGAAGTGAAGAAGAAGAAGAAATACTTTTCATCACATTTTATAACATTCAGGGGATTAAACCCCTAGACCACAGGCAGACAGGCAAGTGTGAAGTTCACAGCCACATCGCAGCCGTCAGTTCACTAAAATAATTAATTATTTTTTAATTAGAATTTTTGAAACAGACAACAAATTTTAAGGAAGGGAATTATTCATTAAATACAGAGCAATTAATTTACTGATTTACTTCCCTTTGAGCATGATAAATGTGGTTTTGATTTAAAAAAAAAAAAAAGAACAGACACACTGCCACTCCAACGAGCATGTTACAAAATTAGACTAATTAAGGGTGTTTCTTCAAAGTCCGAGTACATCTGCCTGAGAGGGTAAGAACCAACAGTCTGCATACAAATAGGACAGACATGTAAAATAGAAGTGTGTGCAAAAACTCAAGTTCAGGAACAAGAATAAAGTCCAGAAGTGGTCGAAAAACCAGAACTTTCTGCTGCAGTTTACAGCCGGTAAATATATATGTGCATGTACACAGTTGCAACCAGTACAATAGCTGTTATATAATTTTAGTGGCCATTACCCAAAGACTTCATGTCATCATGAAACCAGCTTTCTCAGGGTTCAGAGTTAATCGCAAACTTCCCAAGCCCTCTGTATTCTACCTGACACAATAACAAATGGTACCTACCTCAAAGATAGGATAGTTTCCTAATTTAGAGTTCTTTCTGTAGCGGCACCACATAATGTTGAACTTAATGAAGAACTTCCCAAAGACACCCTGAAACAACCAATAAGCAAGAGCTGACGGCTATTAACGTCTTCTGTACTAAGAACTTATTATCTGTTGCTGACTACATTAATGTCTTGTCTTTCTATTTATGTTTGTTTATGAATAAGTGGGTTTGTGTGAATGTATGTGCATTAATGTGTGTGTGTGCGTGTGTCTGTGAGAGAGAGAGAGAGACAGAGAGAGAGAGAGAGAGAGAGAGAGTGAGAGAGAGAGAGAGAGAGAGAGAGTGTGTGTGAGTACGCATGCCTATAATGTATGCATGTCTGTGCATGTATGCATGTATGTATATCTCTATGTGTGTATGCATACTGTGTGTGTGTGTGTGTGTGTGCATGTGCACCCGTGCATGTGTGTCTCTCTCTCTCTCTCTCTATATATATATATATATATATATATATATATATATATATTATATATATATATATATATATATATATATATATATATATATATATATATTAGGGCTGTACCGAATATTCGCTTTGTATTCGCTTCGGGGCCGAATAGTGGACCCAATAACTATTCGGTATTCGGCCGAATAGTTGCGGACGGGCCGAATACGAATAGTGGTTACCTCACAACCGTTTCTGTACTGGTGGAAAAAAAAAACATCAAGATTTCCCACCTTGGTTTATACTGTGAAAGCGTTATCTTTGTGCACCACCTACGAGCGTACCAAGTGCCCCTTTATTTCCATCTTGTATGTGTTGCGAGTATAGTGTTTTTACGTGTTGCTGTAGAAACAAAATGCAACACTTAAAAATGTAAGAGGGGCAGAAAAGCAAGTGTTCTAGTGTTGTCGGCTTGATTTCTTTGAGTGGAGTGTCCTCTTCGTTGATTCTTTGAAGTAACGGGAGTTCGTCATCATTTATGGGTGTCGTATCTGTTCTTTCGTCGTCTCGTGGAAACGGCAGTGGTTGAATGTTTTGATCCACGTTCGGTTTCTTTATTGTCTTTGTTGTTTGATCTTCTGGCGTTGGCCGCCCGGCATCTGGTTTCGTGAGCTTGCGGGGGGCTGGGCGACTTGTAAGGACGGCATTGTTTTCTTCGTCGGCGTTACTTTTGTTTTTGATGTTTCGTCTTGCGGGTTTTCATTTTGACTCTCTGTATTTGTCGTATTTTCCTGTTAAGTACAGCTGGAAATACCTTCAGTGAGACAAAAAGCTGGCCTAATGATGACAACATGGAACGAAGGTTTTTCATGGAGGTGTGTCAGCACACGAACTAATACGTGCTGCAGGAGATCGCAGATTGTGGCGAGGCATAATCGCCCATGCCAGCCGGCAAAGCACATGATGATGATGATTTACTATTCGTATTCGGCCGAATAGTTGGTCCAGCTATTCGTATTCGGCTGAATAGTGAAAATCACTATTCGGTACAGCCCTAATATATATATATATATATACATATATCATCAGTTCTCGTTATGCCTAGTGGCACATGAGGCTTCAGAGAGGACTTTCCATGCTTTCCTGTCCTGTGCAATCTTCAGTGCAGTTTTCCATGTCAAAGATGCCGCACTCAGGTCACTTTTCATCGTTCTTCTCCATGTTGTTTTTGGGCGCCCCTGTTTTCTCTTTCCCTCTGGTGTCCATGTGAGAGCTGTTTTGGCAGGTATATCCATCTTCTCTTGGTAATCATACTGTCTAAAGTTTCTTGTTTTGTGGCTTGAAGTAGTTTAGTGTTTTAGATTGTATCTGGCCAGAAAATTTTGATAATTCTACGTAGACATGTGTGGTGGAAGGTGGACAGCTTTTTGGTCATTCTCCAGCATTCCGCTCCATAAAGAAGAATTGGCAAAATGATGCTCTTGTAGAGTCGGAGTTTCGTTCCTCCGCAGTAATTGTTGGATTTCCAGATTTGCCTCATCCTTCCAAAAGCCAGTTGATATATATATATATATATATATATATATATATATATATATATATATATATATATATATATATATATATATATATATATATATATATATATAAACTGGCTCGCAGAAACAAATCACTGTGAAGCCACTATCACTGCAAATGATCAAAAACTAAATGAGTCGACAGATTCAATTATGCTGACAGTACCCTAGCTCAGAAAGTCAACATCGACGACGAGATCAATGCTAGAATCTTAACGGCCAGCAGCAGTTTCGGCAGACTTTATACTAGTGTCTGGAACAGAAGTGGTATCTCCTTGCTGACCAAGCTAAAGGTCTCTTCCAGTACTGCTCTACGCTTGTGAAACGTGGACTTTGTTACAGCGTCATGCCAAAAAGTTGAATCAGTTTCATATAACTTGTCTCAGAAAGATGCTCACAATCAAATGGCAAGCTAAGATCCCAAATACTGTGGTTTTTGATAAGGTAAACCTGCCTAGCATCCACATGATACTGAAGAATTATCAGCTGCGTTAGGCTGGTCACCTAGCCTGCATGCGAGAATATCGCCTCCCGACAACAGTATTTTATGAGGAGCGTCAGCAAGGGAAGACATCCCAAGGAGGATAGATAATGCACTATAAGGACACTCTCAAGACTGTTCTTAATTCTTTTGCATCAACACAGCAAGGGGGAGGCTGCTGCACAAGACCGGTCTGGACGGCATACATCCCTCAGGCATGGTGCATCAGCCTGCCAGGAAGTGGAAGTTGCACAGGCAGAGAAACGGAAGAAGACTAGAAAGAACCGCATTGCTAATCCCACACTTACTGTGGCTTCCACCTGTTGTATGCATTTATCATCCATGCTTTTGTGTACTTTACTTGATAGTTATATTATGTTTATTGATATATGAGCATGCATTAAAGATAAATATACAATTGCTGTGTGAAATATGAGTGTCTGGCAGGGCCAAATGTAGGACATATGTGTCAGCATATGAATTCATAACTGTCGCCAGAGAATGGGTGTTATGAAGAAGCAGCATAGTTACCCAAGCTATCTGACAAAGCCGGTTGATAATGATGATGAAAAAGAATTTAAAAAAACCAATATTAGCATGTATGTTCCCAATTCCACATCTGTGAACAACTTACTCCAAGTACTCTGACCCCCCACCCTCTCCCACATTCAAGTGCTACAGCCAACTTACTCATCCCAACTGTTCCAACAAAATTTACCCAGTAAACTTTCCCAAATACCATCCCCCAGTGCTATGACCAACTTACCCCAAGTGTTCCAAACAGCTTACCACAAGTGCTTCAACTAACTCAGCATGCTCTAACCGATCCAACCTAAGTGCTCCCACCAACCCTCCCCGAGTGTTACCACCAACCCTTTCCTGAGTATTCCAAACAACCTACTCCTTTTGTGCCAACCAACTTACCCCAAGTGCTCCAATCAAAATGAAAGGAAACAGCTCCAGCAAGGACCAGGGCTCATTATAGTCTATAGAGAACATCACCAGGTGATCATTGCCAAAGGGGTTGATGGACCGCAGGACAAACGCTGCGATGAGAGCACAGAAGAAGGACCTCCACAAGGTCTTCAGTGGAAAGTAGTAGCTCACCTGTGAGGAAACAAAAACAAGCATACTTCAATAGTTCACTTAAACAATATACCCAGACTTTTAACTGGTCAAGCCTAAAGGTCATAGGTTCATTTCCCAGACCTATTGTCCAGTTCTTGAGTGCACAATTTTAAGAGAGATCCCCAAAGAGCCGTGGCTGGAGCTGCAGAGTTCATGCTTTGTGCAGTGATGTTGGCAGGTGGCTAGTCATTCTGTCAGCTGTGACACATAGTCAGTCAAGTACAGGATGCTTCTCCCTGTGTATGTGGCTTGGGAACCAACAAAGTGTTGGGCCCTATTTTCAAAGACTCCACAATAAAGGAGAATGAAAAAAAAACAAAAAAGTTGTAATTTATAATTTGCATTATCACTACTTTCTTCTTCTTTTTCATCTGAGTTCGTCTCTAAAAGGGCAGTTCACATGTTGTGGTGTGTTTGGTTCACAGCTAGGCTGCGATATCTGTGCCAATTGACCACACATCAAATTGCAACTCAAAAACTCATCACTCATTACTAGCATCCTATGGATTAACAGGTAGTGGGCAGCTTTACTTCCACTTGTGGATCGGAAGGTCGTGGGTTCGCATCCTGATGGAGCCAGACTTTTTAAAAAAAATACCTTGACTCCCAGTTTGACCCAGCCTTGAGTGGGTACCAGGTGCAGTTCTGGGAAGTAAAGGTGGCCAGCGAGATGCTGACCATATCACCCACAATGTGCTGATTGGTTTATAAAAATATAGGTCTAGCCCTAAATTCCCAATATGCCTAAAGGTGTGGGAAAGGGACCCTTAGTTTACTTTTTTGTATATGGACTAATAGACTGTGATGTTTAGATATCACAAAGACAACCCTGTGAAGACAAAAGAGCTGGACAGGAGTAGGCCACAAAGCAGACCAAGAAGAAGGTGGAGAAGTAATATGCAGGCAGAACTAAAACTACTAGAGTGAAAAAAACCCAATCACAGAGACAAATGATTTCTGCAGCAATGAACCTCAAGGGCTGGGAAAGATAAGAAGAATAATCTGCACTATATGAGTGATTTGGTCACTATGCCACAAGCTGCCTTTATTTCCCATAACTTTACCTGGTACCAACTTAAGGCTGAGTTAATCTATTACTGAGTCAGCAGGCAAGCATCTAGATCAGAGGTTTTCACTTTTTTTAACTGGCACTCCCCTTTGAATGTATGGCAAGACCTCCACATACACAACTCACCCACCACCCCAGCTCTGAAGGAAAAAAGAACTGATTGAAAAGAGGATGACAAAAGGAAAATCATAGGCACTATCAACAAGAACTGTGTTATCCTATTAATTAGCTTTTAACGGTAGATGTATAAACTGCTAAAAAAAAAAAAAAAAAACCGTCTTTAGCTTTTTGTTTTATAAAAAGTTTTACAAATATTTTTTTATAACTAAACTGAAAAAACAAAACAACTTTTAATGTAACAGACTGTTATTAGTACAATTGCAAATGCAATTTTAAAACTGCTTGAGGCCCCTCTTGAAACTTTCAAAACCGTTGATCTAGATACTATGCTGCCACAGCTCCAGCGACACATAAGTGCTGGGGTAATTAAAAGAGCAGATGGACACCTGTACTAGATGACATTCAGCCTGTTGTTTACCAGCGACTGCGACTGAAACCAGGCATACTGCTGCCACAGATTGACCTATTTTTGTTGATGACCAAATGTCCATCAGGTCATCAGGCAAGAATGCAACCCACTGCGATACCACAGATTCTTCTATGAGATAAACATAAATATAACAGCTGGTCACTGTCAGATTTGTATCCAGGATCTCACCTCCTCCAAACTGAACAGCACACCACCAATGGGAGCTCCAAAAGCCACACTGACACCAGCAGCAGAGGCAGCAGACAAGATCTGGAAATAAAGAAGACAGAAACACATGGTGAATTATAAACTGGTTGAACTTAATACGTAACATCAACTATGAATTTGAACAGACACAATGCATCTCCTAAACAAACAAAAAATTCAGCAATGCTTGTTTTTTTAAATTCCTATTTTACTGAATTAGTTCCATATTTACTGACTATCCTGTGGTTTTTATAGGCACTCTTACATTCACTGATGGCATCTGTGACTTAGGGGCTGATGATGCATAATTGTGACATAACAGTGCTCAGCTGCTGGCAATTTGGCAGCACACCACCATGCAATGATCTTGACACCATGCCGCCCTAAACGCCATGGCAACTACTGAATATAAAGATTGCCTAGTAAGCTTTCCTTATTCACTCCAAATTTCCAGATTTAGTACCATACAGCAGAACAAGTTTGATATTTGATCATAGGCAGGAACAAAGTTTAGGTGGTTGTGCTGTGTTGAATGTTGAATTAGGAATCAACATTACAGCACTCGGGACACCCCCATAAGTGCTCCATCCCTATCTACAGCAGCAAGTGAAGAGTTCCAATTCTGATGGCACCAGTAACTGTCTGATTGTATATCTGTCTCACCTTTGCTCTGAGTGTTGAGCGTTGGCCAGATAACCTGGCAACTCCTTGCATTGCCATTCTCCTCGGACTGTAATGATCTATTTGCGCTTCCACACTGTTCTCCCGCTACCAGAAAGCCCTCACAACATCTAGCTTGTCATACATCAGTTCACTATCAAGTGGTGCAGAACCGGCCAGTCTATCTGCCTGCTCATTTCCCAATACACCAGCATTACCTGGAGAGAATATCTAAAGGATGCTAACTACCCAGGACCTCTGAAGTGATGCTTGCCACTCTGCATGGAGCATACCTGTCTCAACCTTTCTCAACATGCTCTGTGAGTCTGTTACACTCACGGCATGTGTGTACTGCTGATTCTCCAGCCAGCGGAATGCAGCAGGGTCTGCCTCCACCTCCTTTCTCAAACTAGCTGTTGTGATACCACATGTAAGGCTTTTTTGCACTAAGTGACACCCATTCTCCTTTGCTATGAACCCCCTTGCACTTTGTCTGCCCCTCATCACAGAACCTTCAATCACATCACCTGGATGGGAATTTTCATGAATCATTTCTTGAACTTCTGATGGTCGTTGCTGTGTTTAAAGAGACAACACTCCGTACCTCATCTCAGGTGGGAGCAGGCTCTGTGCTGGTTTTATCATGCAAAGTCTCCTTCCACAGACCTCATTGTGCACCACAGATAGTGGGCTGACGGATGTTAGATTCCCCGGCCTGAGGATCTCAGAGTTGGTTGCCCCTAGACATGCAGTGTCCTGATTTCATCTAGCTCTCATCAGCTCTCTCCCAATGGATGGTTAATTATATGCATCAAAAACTCATTCAGAACATGAGTGAAGCACACTGGCCAAATATATTACTATACGCCAACAACTGGTTCAAATGTACATCAACCAAAAATCCCAGTCAATGCCACAAAGGCTCAAATGTCTTATAGAATAACAGCAAAATTCCAGATGTCTGACAATTGAATGACGTCCTACTGTGTGACAGACAAGGTTCAGAAGTCTGACCATCTAGTATATGATTGTGTGAGAGACAAGGTTCAGAAGTCTGACCATCTAGTATATGATTGTGTGAGAGACAAGGTTCAGAAGTCTGACCATCTAGTATATGATTGTGTGACAGACAAGGTTCAGAAGTCTGACCATCTAGTATCTGATTGTGTGACAGACAAGGTTCAGAAGTCTGACCATCTAGTATATGATTGTGTGACAGACAAGGTTCAGAAGTCTGACCATCTAGTATATGATTGTGTGAGAGACAAGGTTCAGAAGTCTGACCATCTAGTATATGATTGTGTGACAGACAAGGTTCAGAAGTCTGACCATCTAGTATATGATTGTGTGAGAGACAAGGTTCAGAAGTCTGACCATCTAGTATATGATTGTGTGACAGACAAGGTTCAGAAGTCTGACCATCTAGTATATGATTGTGTGACAGACAAGGTTCAGAAGTCTGACCATCTAGTATCTGATTGTGTGAGAGACAAGGTTCAGAAGTCTGACCATCTAGTATATGATTGTGTGAGAGACAAGGTTCAGAAGTCTGACCATCTAGTATCTGATTGTGTGACAGACAAGGTTCAGGAGTCTGACAATCTAGTATATGATTGTGTGACAGACAAGGTTCAGGAGTCTGACAATCTAGTATATGATTGTGTGACAGACAAGGTTCAGAAGTCTGACCATCTAGTATCTGATTGTGTGACAGACAAGGTTCAGAAGTCTGACAATCTAGTATATGATTAAATCGTGTGACAGACAAGGTTCAGAAGTCTGACCATCTAGTATATGATTGTGTGACAGACAAGGTTCAGAAGTCTGACCATCTAGTATATGATTGTGTGACAGACAAGGTTCAGAAGCCTGACCATCTAGTATCTGATTGTGTGACAGACAAGGTTCAGAAGTCTGACCATCAAGTATATGATTGTGTGACAGACAAGGTTCAGAAGTCTGACCATCTAGTATCTGATTGTGTGACAGACAAGGTTCAGAAGTCTGACCATCTAGTATATGATTGTGTGACAAACAAGGTTCAGATGTCAGACCCTCTGTGTGACAGAAAGGTTCAAACCTCTACTATCATTGGCCTCACCTGTCGGAGTGTCAGGACTTTAAGGAAAACTATGCCTGATGCATGTTATTCCTATACAGTCATGCTTAGTGTCTTGATGAATTTACAAAAAGCTTTTCAGTTCCAACAACCGCATTATGTGTGATCAGCTACTGCCCATGTGTCCCAAACAATGCATGATGTGATCTGATTGTTATTTCTGACCAATAATTTTGAAATTCATCATAGTATGTTTTATGTTAAAAGCCCCTGCAGTTGGCTTCTGACGAATTACAGAGCCATCTGTATATAACATCATCATCCAGTGTGATGTGCGCTCCTCTACCAATGCTTTCACTTCTGCATCAACTATCGGTAGTGCCAAATCATGACATTTGTTTGTCAGACTGATAACCACCACAAAGCACTGTTTGTATTAGATTTTCATTCAGTTATAGTAACTTCTCCATCCAATAACAATGATTGATTGACTGATTGGCACCTTTCCGTTTTTCCAGACAACAGTGTTATACTGCGCTATAAGGAGGCATGAGACTCGCAGCCCATGGCGATGGCGAGTGTGACTAGCAAGACCCGCCCATGTCAAGAAGTCTTCAACAAAGATGGCATGGGATTTCAGGAACATAGTTGTCAACATTTGTGTTTAATCAGTTTTTTTCCAGACGCTCAGCTCTCATCCTTTCTGCAATCATTTCTTCCTTCACTTTCATTCCCTTCCTGATATGCCCTTTCCACACAACACGGTCCATGGTATTTTGTTCCCATGAGTACACCTCAACACCTATATCATTCATGTCCCGCTAGCACACATCTTTATATCGTAGTAGAGGTCAGCCTCAACATCTTCTTCCTGTCTTTAATTCACCATAAAGGATGTCCTTAAGGACTCTACAATCCTCAATTCTCCAGGTGTGACTCAGCCACCTGAGCCTTCGTAGCCTGAGCATGGAAAAGACTGTTGTAGTACTTGTCCCTTAATGCCAAGTATTCTTTTTAGGCATCACATGTGAAAGCTATTTAGCCATCTCTCCTGGTGCAAATAGGTTGAACAAGTTTCACTGCCATAAAGCAGAGTGCTGACAACACAAACCTGAAAGACAAGGGTTTTTGTTTTAATTGTGAGCTTTCTGTTCTCCCAAACTCTCTTTGTCAATCTGCTCATTGTTGTTGCTGCCTTACCTATCCTGTTGTTGACTTCTTGGTCCAGAGATAGTTTACTATTCACCGTGGAACCCAGATAGGTCAAATGGTCTACTGTCTCAAGCTCTTCACCGTCAATGTATACATTGACTGTTTACATTTTCCATCAATGAAAATGACTTTATACGTACAGGCTGATTTAATGACACTGATTTAATACACACTCACTGAACGAAAGTGACCTATTATATACACAACTACATACACAACTACAACAACCAGTCTAAAACAAACCTCTCTCTTCTTGGCCTCATTCCGTCCATACTTGGGAAACAAGTAGGAGAATATATTTCCACAGCAGCAAGCCACATGCACGAATGGGCCCTCTTTTCCCAGGCTGAGACCCGCTGACACAGACAACATCATGCCAAGTGATTTGATCAGCAGGGTCCACTTACCCAGGTACCCACGGATGATGAAGCCACTTAGGATGGTTTTAATCTGAATGTGGAAGAGAACTGCATTATTCATTGTGTGATACAAAGCAAGTTTATATGTTCAAGTATCTGGGTACCCGAATATAAGACTAGTCTCAAGCAAGTTAATATGTAAATCAGGTGCTGCGTGGCCTCAAGACATGTCAAAAACCTAGAGTGCTGGTTCAGGCCCCGGCGAAGGCTGGGATTTATTTCATGTGAACTTTTGGTCTTTGGGTAGTAAGGTCGAATGCCAGTGTGTATTGTTGCGCACATAAAAAATCCCTTGGCACTTGGAAATCGATAAGAGTAGCCTAACTGAGCCGCCCGGGCAAAATTTGGAGCTTAAAATCTTCCCAAATTATTTCAGGATCCTCGCCAATGCTATGGAGATTTTTCGGGCTCAGGGTTGAGTAAGAAGTAGAACGGAACACATGGGTTACCCCTTGTGCCATGATGTTGATCAGCTGTCTAAACCTTTAAGTATCTGGACAGAAGATGCATTTCAAACGTCTTTAGGGCAGTTCTTGAAAAACAAAATGCATAGTAAAACAACCAGTAAAATGCTGGGGTTGGTTCTGCAGTTTTTCTGTAAAGATATGCAACAAACTAGAGAACTAACTATAGTGTGTTTATTAACTGGTGACATGTTCAAATAATTACATCTCAGTTGTAGTAGAATAAAAATAGATTCATTCTCAATGTTATGTCAAAATTTGTTCCCTGCATAACAGGTAATTAGAATGTATTTTTGCTTATTCGAGGTATAAAAATATATGATGATCTTTGCTTGATTGTCTTTTAAGAGGTATACAGCACTAAATTCAAACGTAACCAATCAATCTTTCACAAATTAACACGTTTCTTGTGTTTTATGTAAATTCTGAACAAGACTACAAATGCTGTGCTGAAAGTGTCACAGTGAGCTTTAAACAGAGTGTGCAGGATTGTTTCCAAGATTCATGACAAATTGTAATGGCTTAACTTATGCGGTTAGGGTAATGCATGTCTGTATTGTAACATTTATTTTGTTACCTAGGCAAGTGATGAAAATAACAAAGGAAATGTCTGTTTCAATACAATCAGACAGTCTCAATATTATTTATGTACAAAATATTAATGCTGAGATGAAAATAGAAGTTAGCTGTGTATCCCTTACAGGAAGTTGCAAAACCAATTTCAGCAATTTTTGGCCGTTGTTGTTATTCTAGACAAGTTTTACACTTAGTAGTTACATACTAAACGGTCAGCACTAGGTACCACTGCCAAAACCAACCCAAGACAAATTGTCTGCAGTTGGGATCAAACCGGGCACCCTGGTATTATGAAAATAGAAGCCCATGCAAAAAAATCATGTTCCCAGGGTAAGCAATTAATTACCAAGAAATTATCAAATATACAACAGCATTAGTTTGTAAACGTGCTTTAGTAGGGCACGACTAGCATTGAAAACAGTCACGAAATTCATTAAAGAGCAATAGATGAGAGTGTTTTCTCATTCCACTGTCTTCTTGGTCTGCCTCATATTCTACTCCCGTTCAAATCTTTTGTATACACAGTATCTGTCTCTGTGTTTTCTGCCATTCTCTTTGCATTTTCCAAAGATTGCAAAAATCGGTGTTGATTTAAAGAGATTATGAATTTATTTGTTTATTCTCACTCTTCAATCTCAGCTGTTTACATCTTTGATGGGTCAAAGTATTGGTTGTAAGACTGTTCTCAAATGCCCCAAATACAAAGTATTCTGTACAATATGTCTTAGTTAACTAATGCTATTGTAGCGCTTTGTTTTTAAGAAACAACCCTTCAGTGATGTTTCTAACTTTTAAGTAGCAGCAAATGTAACATTAGCTAAAATTGTTATTTTATTTTATTCAATTAACTACATAAAATGCTATCTACATTTAGTGTGACCCTGTGGCTTAGAATAAAGGGAATAAAGAGAAACCCTAAGTAGTCCATTCAAAAGAGAAGCCAAAGGTGCTGGACCGAATTAGAAGTTAGTTCATGTTTCATAATCCAATGCTTGCCCTATCAGGTTTTCCTTTGTCTGTGACTGTGGCTGGCTACTTAGAAAAAGACTTCTTGTGGCTTTCTGATAGCGGTATGAAAGTCACACAATGGAAAAGACTGGGGTATCAACACACCATATTTGAAAAGGAGCAGTGGATGCATTAAACGCAACCCCCATTTACTAAAATTATTGTTCACGTGTGTTTTTGTTTGTGCCTTAGAAATCAGCCCATCTGTGTAATATTTCCCCTACTCTTGCAGTCACCACATGCAGACATGTTGAAAAACTCTGCTTTAGAACAAATGCAACTGAAGGACAAGAGAATACCAAGACAGTTGTTACACTTACCTCAGGAACACCGGAACCACAGGCATACGGGGCAAACATGCGGACCAAGGTGGCAGCCAGCAAGCCAAACAGCAACGCCCACACAACATAAAACAGATAGCCAATGATGTAGGAACCTGCACCCGAAACACTTCCACTCAGGATGTGGCTCCAGGTCCACCACTGTAACAGATGAAAACCTCCTGCTTTAGGGAGACATGGCAAAAACTCTATAAAGTAAAATGAAGGACCCTCTTAAGCTGCATCGGGCATATTGGGTATATAGTGAGCTAGACCTATATTTGACAGACCAACTGGACTTGGTACAGGTGCCTGTACTTTACATGGCATTACCTGCTTCTTATTTCTGTAGGCTTGGTTAATCTGGCAGCCAATGTCATTTCTGAATAGAATTGGCTGGATGAGGTCTCTCTCTCTCTCTCCCTCCCTCTCTCACTAACCTTATCTCTCTCTCCCTCCCTCTCTCACTAACCTTATCTCTCTCACTAACCTTATCTCTCTCTCTCCCTCCCTCTCTCACTAACCTTATCTCTCTCTCTCCCTCCCTCTCTCACTAACCTTATCTCTCTCACTAACCTTATCTCTCTCTCTCCCTCCCTCTCTCACTAACCTTATCTCTCTCACTAACCTTATCTCTCTCACTAACCTTATCTCTCTCACTAACCTTATCTCTCTCACTAACCTTATCTCTCTCACTAACCTTATCTCTCTCACTAACCTTATCTCTCTCTCACTAACCTTATCTCTCTCTCCCTCCCTCTCTCACTAACCTTATCTCTCTCTCTCCCTCCCTCTCTCACTAACCTTATCTCTCTCACTAACCTTATCTCTCTCACTAACCTTATCTCTCTCTCCCTCCCTCTCTCACTAACCTTATCTCTCTCTCTCCCTCCCTCTCTCACTAACCTTATCTCTCTCTCTCCCTCCCTCTCTCACTAACCTTATCTCTCTCTCCCTCCCTCTCTCACTAACCTTATCTCTCTCACTAACCTTATCTCTCTCTCCCTCCCTCTCTCACTAACCTTATCTCTCTCACTAACCTTATCTCTCTCACTAACCTTATCTCTCTCACTAACCTTATCTCTCTCACTAACCTTATCTCTCTCACTAACCTTATCTCTCTCTTCCTCCCTCTCTCACTAACCTTATCTCTCTCACTAACCGTATCTCTCGCACTAACCTTATCTCTCTCACTAACCTTATCTCTCTCACTAACCTTATCTCTCTCTCCCTCCCTCTCTCACTAACCTTATTTCTCTCACTAACCTTATCTCTCTCTCCCTCCCTCTCTCACTAACCTTATCTCTCTCACTAACCTTATCTCTCTCACTAACCTTATCTCTCTCACTAACCTTATCTCTCTCACTAACCTTATCTCTCTCACTAACCTTATCTCTCTCACTAACCTTATCTCTCTCACTAACCTTATCTCTCTCACTAACCTTATCTCTCTCACTAACCTTATCTCTCTCTCCCTCCCTCTCTCACTAACCTTATCTCTCTCACTAACCTTATCTCTCTCTCCCTCCCTCTCTCACTAACCTTATCTCTCTCACTAACCTTATCTCTCTCACTAACCTTATCTCTCTCACTAACCTTATCTCTCTCTCCCTCCCTCTCTCACTAACCTTATCTCTCTCACTAACCTTATCTCTCTCTCCCTCCCTCTCTCACTAACCTTATCTCTATCTCTTATTAACAATAACTCTCTCTCTCTCTTTCTGTCACACTCTCTGCTTTTCACTTTCTCTCTGTGTCTCTCTTTCTCTCACTGTCACTGTCTTTTTCTCCCATTCTCTGTTACACTGACATAGAGAAAGTAAAAAACTGAAAAAGAACCACAGAGAGAAAGTGAGAAGCAGAGAAAGTTAGAGAAAGAGAGACTCAGAAAGTGAGAGAGAGAGAGAGAGAGAGAGAGAGAGAGAGAGAGAGAGAGAGAGAGAGAGAGAGAGAGAGAGAGAGAGAGAGAGAGAGAGAGAGAGAGAGAAGAGAGACAAAAATAGACACAGAGAAAAAGTAGAGAAGAAGAGAAAGAAGAAGCGAGAGAAGTTATAGAAAGAGACTGAAAGAAGAGAGAGAGAAACCCACGCAGAGAAATGAGAAGAAGAGAGAGTGAAAGAAAGGTACATAGACAAGGTAGGAAAGAAAGAAAGAGACAAAGAGAGAGAGAGAGAGAGACTGACCGAAAGAGAGAGACAGAGATAAAGTAAGAAGCAGACAGTGGGAGAAAAAGACAAAGTGAAAGACATAGTGAGAGAAAGAGACAGGAGGACAGATAGAGACAGAGAGAGAGAGAGCTCATGCAACAACCACAGACATACCTGTGAGCACTCCTCAAACTCATCCAAGGAAGTAGCATTTAAGCTAGGCCCACTCCAGCAGCACTGCTCTCTGTTAAACCAGAACGCCTCCAAACAGACACCTTCCTTCAGATCTGACATCCAGGTAGCACCAATATCAATGATGCCAGCACAGGTGCCTGGGGTAGATACCATGTAACTCTTGTATCACGTGATGATGATGTATTATGTAACTATATATCATGACTATATATAGACTAATGATAGTCTGTGACCCTTGGCTCTATCTAGTCTTGCCAGCACAGGTGCCTGGGGTAGATACCATGTAACTCTTGTATCACGTGATGATGATGTATTATGTAACTATATATCATGACTATATATATAGACTAATGATAGTCTGTGACCCTTAGCTCTATCTAGTCTTCATGCTGGAGGTGCTTCTTGTTTGCAACTACTCAAGATGTGACTTTGCTTGAAACATTTTGAGCCTATCTGTAATAGTTGGCAGTGTAATTAAAGTATATAACACATACATACTACTGGGGTATCTCATGTATATCACAGAGCAAATATATGGTCAAACACTGTATTGTATCATGAAATAATCTATCAAGTGATCATTTAATTTGCAACAATGTATCATTAGCAAGTTACAATATATCATGTAATATGACATCATGTAACAATGTAATCTGTGATGTTACATCATTTAACAATGTATCACATGATAATGGTGTATTCAACAATATACCATGTAATGTGACATCATGTGTGTGATGTTATATAATTTAACAATGTACTATATGATGACTATACAAAAGCATTTGACTGTGTGAAGCATGAAGAAGTAATCAAACTGTTAGAAAAATTAAACATTGATGGGAAAGTTCTACGAATAATAAAGACTATGTATTGGCAGCAAACAGCAGCTATAAGAATAAACAACTGTTTAGGTTCATTTCAAAGCATAAAGAGGGGCGTACGACAAGGATGTGTACTTTCACCTGATTTGTTTTCATTATACAGTGAATATATAAAGAGATCTTTAATTGATATGCCCGGAATTGTGGATGGTGGGGAATAATAATGGGAAGACAGAAGTAATGGTGGTATCAAAGAAACAAATTATTCCTAAATGTGTCAATGGTGTTATTTTAGGACAAGTACAGAAATTTAAGTATCTGGGCCCATGGATAACAACAGATGGAAGATGCATAACTGAAATAAGAAACAGAATTGGACAGGCAAAAACTGCATTTTATAAAATGAAAAACATCTTGTGCAATATATCCTTGTCATTGAGAGTTAGAAAAAGAATTCTTGCTTGCTACATACATCCAGTTTTAACATATGGATATGAATCCTGGACAATCGGTAGACAGGCCAAACAATTTTTAGAGGCCTCAGAGATGTGGTTTTACAGAAGAATACCTTGGACAGCCAAAAAGAGCAACCAAGAGGTTTTGAAAGAGGCGGGAGCCCGAAGACAACTTATCACAGACATCAGAAGGAGACATCATTTTTCAGCCATGAGAAGAGGGAAAATAGAACATTTTGTGACCACTGGAAAGATCTCTGGAAGGAGGGATAAAGGAAGACAACGAGAGAAGATGCTTGACAGTCTTGTTGCATGGCATGGAGGTGTGTCGGCACACGAACTGATACATGCTGCCGGAGATCGCAGATTATGGAGAGGCATGATCGCCCACGCCAGTCGGCAAGGCACCTGATGATGATGATGATTATATGATGATGTAGAATGTAACAATATATCATGTAATCTGACATTATGTAACAATGTATTACATGAAGTTATTTAACAATGTACCATACGATGATGTAGCTTATAACAATATACCATGTAATGTGTCAGGCAACAATGTATTGTGTGATGTGATATAAATTGTGCAATATATTATGGGATGATGTGCCATGTAATGTTATATCACAAAACAATGTACCCTGTAATGGTTGGTGTACAATTCATCATATAATGTTATGTCATGTAACAATGTATCAAGAATCATGTACTGATGCATCAATAACAATGCATCAGGTAGTTAAATAGTATTTAACAACGTACCATGCAAGGATGGATCAAGTAACAATGTATCACATAATTATGTGGCATGTAACAATGTACCATGCAATGATGTATCATGTAACAGTATCATAAAACAGTGTTTCATGTAAGGACATATAATGTAACAATGGATTATGTAGCAATGTATCACAACAATGCATCACATAGCGATGCATCATGTAACAAAGTATTGTGTAACAAAGTCAAGATGTAAAGGTGTCTACATTTCCCTACCTGCGGCTACTCCAACCAATAAGACGCACACCCATCCGGACCAGGCATCATGAGCACCTTTCAGCTTCTCCCAGCATCCTTCTTGCCGTTTCTTCACGATGTGCCTGTGCCTCATGCGATCACGAGCAATGTCCCGCAGCCAGTCAATGGTGTGAAAGTCATCATACTGACCAATCCCTGGAGGCAGGTCATCCAGGGTGTCCATTATGTTCCCAGACCCTGGAGAACAGGAAACAAGAACGTAAAGATAATACCATGGGTTAAACAGCAGTCCAGTGGTCAGACACTTGCCAATGGCCTAAGGGTTTTGGGTTTAAATCTGCATATTCTCCAGTGCATCTTATGGTCCCAGAACAGCCCCCCCCCCTCTCCCCCCCCCCTTCCTTTTAATCACTGATGCAATCAAGGCACCTAGCATGAAAGTATTGGAAAAGCATGCCCCAGGAATGGCTTTTCAGTTTGGTCCCAACACAAAGTAGACAGAAAGAGGGGTTACGCTGCACTGGCGACACACGGTCTCTACAATACTGCCCAGCCTTGGGTCTCAGTTCGCTACGGGCTGTGATTTCCATGCCTTCCTACAGAAGATCCCAAAACTGTGGTCTGGAAAATGGAGAGGTTCCAACAAAACAACAATGCCAAAATAATAATTTTTTTTATGCCACACGACAAAGCAGTTTGAGGCAATTAAATGACTCAATTCCTCAAGTGGGTCCTGGGGTCCTATTTATAAGAGAAAAATTATAGACCCACTGCTCCCAGCAACTGGTAATGTGTTCAGTTAGTCATAAGAGACGACTAAATTAGGAATGTTTCCCTTAACTCTTTGAGTCCCGAGGAATGCATCATTCGTTCATAGGTTCCTACCTAGAAGCCCAATGAACGCATGATGTGCCGATTCTATTACTTTCTTTACTACCCCCTGGGCCTGTGATGCTAAACCCCCTGGGACTCAAAGTGTTAACACTAGAGTGCACCTGCAGGCGAGGAACCAACAGTCTGCATGCAAATAAGCCAGATCTGTACAATGGATGTGCATGCAAAACTCAAGTTCTGGAAAAAGGTCAGAGTTCAGAAGTGGATGGGAAACCAGAACTTTCCACCAGAGTTGACAGCCGGTGAACGCAAAGAAAAAGAGGAATAGGCGCAATATTGCTCTATACTACTCAATTTAAAATACAGCCATTTCAAGTCTGAGTCCTGAGTAGTTGCTACTTTAACTGCTTCTATTCAACGGAGTCAGTAGCTGAGGCAGTGCGAACAGGCTTTGCAGTTAAGGGGTGATGGTTTCAATTCCAGCTGCCGGCGATTTGGCAGCAGGCAGCCTAGCATTGTTTTTACAGTGTTATCGAGAGCTCCATTCAGAAAGCAATGGCAAAATAGTTAACATAAAATTATCTAGTGAAATCACAAGCAGCCAACAACAAAATGCAAAGGAGTCAACAAGAACTTTCAGCACTAGGAACTAATTCTATTCCAGATAGTTTTTACTTGAATAAATAAATGTGTTTCAGTCAGAATATGGGTTAAAATAACCATGAAATGAGAGAGGAGAAGTTACAGAAACAACTCTAGCAGAGAGGGTTTGTGTAACAACTGTGTGTGCCATCAGTTGATACAGAAAATCTATCATGTAAGTATTACCCAACAAATGCATGGAGAGTTGCTAGGTAGTGGCAGCATTAAAGACAATAAACGGAGTTTAAACGGAGTTGAAGAGAGTCACTGGACTGATTGAACGGACAGCGTTGTTTGGTAGTGGCAGCATTAAAACAGGCCATTTGGTTAACAGTGCTGCTGTCTGCCCTGTTTACATACTTCCCAAAACATATGTATGTAAGATACAGTGTCGTGTCTTAACTGACGTAAAAACAACACCAACGTGTTTTGTGCTTTTCAAAACACGTTTGTGAAGCAGCAAGTTGGGTTTTATACTGTCAACAGTGGAGAGCCAAATACTGCACTACATCTACGCGCAAACACACATTGACACAACCACATCTGCTACCTGGGCGTGACTCTCTGGAGTGGAAGCAACTGACTCGTAAACGTACACCTGCACACAACCAAAATTACATAGCCACATTTACTGCACATACGTAGCTATCTGAACTAAAAGTCACACACCATCCCACAACCATACAACCACACTTAATACTTGATTGTGGCTTTTTGACTGAAAACCATGCACTCTTAACCACACACCCATATCCAACTCGCACAAGCTTAGCCACTCACACCCACACAGACCCCCTCTAACATCCACCTATACTCACACGCCCACATACTCACACATTCTAACAAGAGAAGAAGGCAAACCTAGGGAACATGCACAGCAGGAGTCTACCGATCATTAGCAGACGTCCCCGTTTAACAAATGCTTACGGGGTCGACCAGGGTCTCGGACTCTCCTGGTGTGTTGTGACAATAGGACAACACGAAACTTGGCCATCTGACTGAAAACCACGCAACACACACCCACATATAACCACTCAAACAACCACACACTCACCCACAAAGACCACTTCACATCCACATACACTCTCATGTAAGTCGCTCATACACACACACTCCAACACACACTACCTGGAGACGCCGCAGACCTGCCATTACTGCGTTCCAGTTCTTGAAACGCCTTCAGGACATCATCGTCAACACTGTTGGGTTCTTCCAGCCGCTTGAACTTAAACCCTTTATTGATTCTGGGTATCACCCGAAAATAATCCTCCTCTTCTTTAATTGAGTCTTTCTTGTTGGATTTGGAATCAACACTTGCGGTATTATCAGACATTGTCTTTCGTATAACCCGCTGAAACTTGTACTGTTGTGTGGTATATTCACCGCAGGTTTAACAAAGAACTGAGCTATATATAACTAAGTATACATCCTTGTCCACAATTGTTTACCAAAGCTCTGCGATTGTTCCATTTAAATGTTAAAACTATGTTGGTCTATAAAGTTACAAAAAATTTCAACTATAGCGACGTTTCAATAGGTTCCCTAAAGCCGTATTTACAGTTCTGAGAATCCTAGGCGGAAATATATTATACAGAATAAAGAAACAATCACTCCGCTTTATCCCAATGTAAACGTATATATTTCTCTCTCTTCTGCTAGCCCCCTCCCCAAAGAAGCGTCGGCCTTCAGCTAACTCACACCAAGTCGCTCTATCTTTCACTATCGCCTGCAGCTCACCCCATGCCCTCCTTATCGTGTTCTTCACTCTTCAATTTCCTTCTTTTGGTGTTCTGTATTCATGCCTCTATGTCGGTTCCAGTACAAGGACATTTTAGTTACAGTGACATCCAGTTTTCTCAGCAGCTGTCATTTCCAACGCCACTTCCTTGCGTCTCGATTCATGGAATTTCTTTCTCCCCCAAAGCTCCCATTGAGTGATTATCTTAATAGCCTTGACCTTCATTCTAGACTGCGCAGGCGCCAGTTAATTAGTTCTTTTTTTTAAATCACAAATCAACAGGGACGCCCACAAAAATAAACTTTTGGAAGGAGGAGAGGAGCTGACCTCATGGGACCTTGTTGTAAGTGGACAATAAATAATAATAATAATAATAATAATAATAATAATAATAACAATAGCAGCAGTAATGTACTGAATGCAAATTTGTCAATACCAAAAGTGAAATAATATTAAATGAATTAATACATTGTTAAAAGAAAAAAAAAATATGGTTGGGAGGGAGCGTTAAGCCACTACAAAACCCGCTTTTTGTCTCCCCTGATAAATGTTTCAAACATCAACTCAAATATGCAAGAAACTTTAAAGGTACTTTAAGTAGCGGTCAATTTTATCACAAGAACTCGCCGGTCCGTGAAATTCAAGGATATGATCACAGGGAGAAAACTGCAAACCAACTTCAGGAATACCGACGAGGAAACAAAATTTCATATATGTAAAGGTAAACCACTGTAACACACAAATGGGATCCACATACAGAATCAGCACCGTCCAGCACAATGTTCTTCCATCAAAACAAAGGGAACTGTTTCACGGCCCACCTGACAGCTAACTACACACACTGCTGCTGCTTAGGCGTTAACGTTTTTCATATATGTGGCTGGAGCGTTGTTTCTGATATACGAAGCGCTAGAATAACATCCATTTGATCTCTCCATGCGGTTTTAGTTTTTTCAAACAAATGAGAAGTTCCTGAGGTATCAATTCTACAGAATGGAAGAGAAAAGTCACCTATCCTACCCCGTTACATGATTAAGCAGAATTGTTTGGCGGACCACAGCGACTTTTTCGTCGCCCACGGTGTGAAGAACACTGGTACAAACAGTCGTAACTTAGGCACGGGGGCCTGAGAACCTGGGAGTTCAGGCACCTTGAGAACCCCACTCAAATCTTTAGAGGCAACGAAACGCACCCCCTCCCCTCCCCCGTTCCCGCATAATTATTATCAAGAAAATCTACAAGTGGGTTAGTTGGTCTCCCCAAACCATGTATAGACGTTCTCTTTCGACTGTATATATATATATATATATATATATATATATATATATATATATATATATATATATATATATATACACACACACACACACACATAATACACATACATACATAATACACACACACACACATACACACACCATTCAGCACAGGAAAAAAAATATTATTGTACTATTAAACAAGGCTTAGGCCTTTTAACGCCACCCGTCCCCCTGCCCCCAATGTTTTATTCTGTGTGGGTGCCCCTGAACTTAATGTGTGCGCGTGTGTGTGTGAAATATATATATATATATATATATATATATATATATATATATATATATATATATATATATGTGTGTGTGTGTGTTTGTGTGTGTGTGTGTGTGTGTGGCCGGGTACATCTAGTATATATATATAAACAGCAGAATCCAACGAAGACAGACCCAGGCGTATGAGATAACATCGCAGAAACATAAAGGACCACGTGTGTCTATTAACAACTTGTAAACAGGAAGGGGGTCTACAGAATCACGTCGGATAACAACTTAACGTGGCAGCCGCGGTGAGGTAGCGGCTAGTGACTCGTCTGCGGGCCCGACAGTCTTGGATTTCAAATCTATTCGGATTTTTGTTGATGTCCTTACTCCCATGTTGTCGACCCAGCTTAGCAGGGTACCAAATTAGGTAAAGGGAAGTAAAGGCGGGCGTTGTGATGTTAACCACATTACCCACAGAGCGCCGATTGTTCTATGAAAATATGAGT